CTGTGTCTGTCAGCATAGTGTCCAGAGCATGGAGGCGCTACCAGGAGACAGGCCAGTACATCAGGAGATGTGGAGGAGGCCGTAGGAGGGCAACAACCCAGCATCAGGACTGCTACCTCCGCCTTTGTGCAAGGAGGGACAGGAGGAGCACTGCCAGAGCCCTGCAAAATGACCTCCAGCGGGCCACAAATGTGCATGTGGCTGCTCAAACGGTCAGAAACAGACTCCATGAGGGTGGTGTGAGGGTCCAACATCCACAGGTGGGGGTTGTGCTTACAGCCCAATACCATGCAGGACGTTTGGCATTTGCCAGAGAACACCAAGATTGGCAAATTCACCACTGGTGCCCTGTGTTCTTCACAGATGAAAGCAGGTTCACACTGAGCACATGTGAGAGACGCGACAGGGTCTGGAGACACCGTGGAGAACATTCTGCTGCCTGCAACATCCTCCAGCATGACCGGTTTGGCAGTGGGTCAGTAATGGTGTGGGGTGGCATTTCTTTAGGGGGCCACACAGCCCTCCATGTGCTTGCCAGAGGTAGCCTGACTGCCATTAGGTACCGAGATGAGATCCTCAGACCCCTTGTGAGACCATATGCTGGTGCGGTTGGCCCAGGGTTCCTCCTAATGCAAGACAATGCTAGACCTCATGTGGGTGGAGTGTGTCAGCAGTTCCTGCAAGACGAAGGCATTGATGCTATGGACTGGCCTGCCCGTTCCCCAGACCTGAGTCCAATTGAGCACATCTGGGACATCATGTCTTGCTCCATCCACCAACGCCACATTGCACCACAGACTGTCCAGGAGTTGGGGGATGCTTTAATCCAGGTGTGGGAGGAGATCCCTCAGGAGACCATCCGCCACCTCATCAGGAGCATGTCCAGGCATTGTAGGGAGGTCATACAGGCACGTGGAGGCCACACACACTAACTACTGAGCCTCATTTTGACTTATTTTAAGGACATTACATCAAAGTTGGATCAGCCTGTAGTGTTTTTTTCTACTTTAATTTTGAGTGTAACTCCAAATCCAGACCTCCATGGGTTGCTAAATTTGATTTCCATTGATAATTTTTGTGTGATTTTGTTGTCAGCACATTCAACTATGTAATGAACAAAGTATTTAATAAGAATATTTCATTCATTCAGATCTAGGATGTCTTATTTTTGTGTTCCCTTTATTTTTTTGAGCAGTGTATATGCCTTGTTTCACCCTAGGAGCCAGTCTTTTTGCCATGTTCTATCAATACAGCAGCTTTCTGACCAAGGTCTAGGACTAGGTTTTGCATGAAGACAATGAGTTGTTCTGGGATTCTTATTTTTTCAAGCACGTTCTACAGCTTGACATTATTGTGCAATCAATAATGAAGCACATACTATTTTCTTTTTGGCATTCTATGGTTTTAGTATTCATTGTGGTGTGGCATTTCTTTTTTGTGTATATTGGTATGTAGAGTAACTTCTTACAGTCTGTTGGCCACTGCACTGTTCTCCAGAATTGCTGCCATAGCTTGATGAGACCTTTACTGATTCTCCTTCTGGTGCTTGCCATACTTCTGTAAATATTAATTCCCATAGCTTTCTGACTTGGTAATAACTGAAGTGCTAATTTAATTTCATCTTCTTGTGCTAGAGGTTTTGTAAGCAGGGATATCTTCTAATATATATTGGATATTAACATCTCCATTAAACAGAATTTCAGTATACTCCTTTCATCTTTGATTTTTTTGGAATCAGTTACTATCTGTCCATTGGTGTCCTTTAGTATACCAGTTTGAAGTGAAATGCCCTTCCAAGTTTAGAGATCTTTTAAAATTCTTGTTTCTTTGATGTCTTTGCAGATGTTGCTGTACTACTGCTTCTTGTCCCTTCTAAAAGCTCTCTGAAATAGTTAAGATCTTTCTTGAGATCTTTTGTCTTTCTGGGGTTTGGCTTCTCTTTCTTGGTTAATTTCCATGGTTTGTTCTGACATCCAGATTGCTTTCTTCTGTTTCTTTTTACATGAATCTGTAATGATTTATTTAAGTTTATTCTACAGTTCCTCTGGTGAAGTTCCAGATTTGAAAGTGATTTCTGATATTCTTGAAAACGGTGAATATATGCTCAAGATGATATTGTGGAAACTGCTTAGCATGTCTTCTGCTTCAGCTTAATGGAGAACTTGGACATAAGCAATTTGTGATCTCTTCCACAGTCAGCTCCAGCCACCTCTTTGCTGTCATAGCTCTTGTCTTCCAACTCTTTTTATCAGTAATATATCAGTATGCAAGATATCACATGGGGGGGGGGATATCATGGGAAGATAAAAGTCTTCCTTTAATTCCAACCCCAGTCAAATAGGTAACTACATATTTTAATAAATGATTTTTAAATGATTTCTTTTAGAATAGAATGTGTTAGCAGCATCTCAAGAATAGCCAATATCCCAGCAAAATCCATCTGGCTTTGAATAAG